CCAGTGGCGATGATGACGACTCTGACGACGACAGAGAAGGCAGCGGAGATGGCGACTGGCCCAGCCAGGTGGAATTCTACACTTCTGGTGTCTCCTGGTCAGCCTTCCACAGTTGACCCCCGCCTTCAGGGTGCCTGCACCAAGCTCCGAACTGTCTGATTTTGCTGGGACCCCTGCCCAGGGCAGTGGGCATGTGACAGGTGACTGTTCCAGAGCCGTTACTAGTGCCTTTCTGCTAGACAGCAGCCCCCTACGCCCTCTTCTACTTCCGGACAGATAATTGCCTTTCCATTTCACAAGGTACAGAACATGAAGTCCTTGGTGACCAGGCTACAGTTGCAGCCCTCGGGATTAGACCAGGCCCAGGTGTCCCAAGCACTAAAGACCAGGGTTAAAGAGGGCAAAGGGAAGACCAGACTGGAGTGGGGTTGGTTCCACTCCACTCTGAAGCTTGACAGGCATAGGGCATGCCAGAGCAGGAGGCCTGCACACCCACCACCATGCAGATATCACCACATTGCCACTGTGTGCTGCCAGGCTGGATCCCAGATGCACTGTGTGTGCCCTTCAGGCCCAGGTGAGCTGCAGCCTGAATGCCCCCAGTGCAGGACAAGCCCTGTCACACACACACCCCCAAGTGCCTGGAGCCTGTTTGTCCTGTCCCCATCTCTATCTGTGGTGAGTAGAAGTAGTGTTTTCCCATAGGACTCTGGGTTTCAAGGACAGAAACCCTATCCAGACTGACTTACCAATAAAATAAAATAAAATAAAAATAAAGGCAAAAAGCAGCTCTTTTGGTTGTTAAGTACCCTAACTTTAGACACTGCTCAACCAAGGGTATGTAGCATGGCTGGGGACAACTGTCACTGACACTGCCAAACTGGGCATTCCTGGAAATGCCTCCCACCCAGTGAGACATTCGTGCCACACTGTTCCACAAGAACAAAGCCCCTTTCTGTTGCTGTGACTGCCTTCCTTTGTGCCTTGCTTTTCTTTTAAGACCGGGACTTGCTACATAGGACTGCTACAAACCTGGCATCCTCTGGCCTCAGCCTCCCTGGTGCTGGGATTACAGGCAGGTACCACTACACCTGGCTTCTGGATGTGGGCTATCTAAGTAGGTGCTAAAGGAAACAAGGTGTTTGTCTCACACAGCCTGACCCTTCTGTAGTGAAAGACCCTCCTGTGTAGTCTCCTGCTCAGCCCCTGCAGATGGTGCCTGCGCTAGCCTGGCCTGTGGAATAGAGAACTTCAGGGCTCTTCAGAAGCCTTCTTTAAAGTGGTGTGTGGTGGTTCATGCCTGTAATCCCAGGAGTCAAAGAGGCAGGACCCAGAGTGAAGCCGGCCCTAGCTACATAAAAGCCCTGCCTTGAGAAGCCATGCTCTCTGCAGGTGTTTATGAGTCAGTCTTTGCCCAGGCTGTCCTTGAATGGAGTCATCAGGTAGAATGGGGGCACCGTCTGCTACATGGGAATTTGGTGCTAAGAAAGCCCCCGCCCCCAACTCTAATATAGTGAAGCCCTGTTCTCGGGGATCTCCATTCCCCCAATACAGTGTTGTCTTCCCTGTCCGTGTTGTGATTCTGTAGGTCGGGTCCAGATCCCAAAGTCTGCAGTTGACAGACATGTGGTCGTCCGTCCGAGAGTGCTTGGAGGAGTAGAATACAGAGCACCCAGGAGTGGCCTGTGACCCTTCCTGCACTGGTGGAGACAGGCTGGGGAGGACTGGGGAATGTATTTGTTTGTAGCCCCGT